CACTCTTTCTAGTAAAGTGTTGCAAACAAGTTACTTACATTCGAGTTTTGAGCTAAATTGAATTCCAAAATTAATATTTGAATGTGTATTTATAGAAAAAAGTGGCTAATGACTCAGATGCATTCATTCATCTTGCTTTTAATGTAATAGATAACTGTATAATCAAGTTAACTGAGCAAGGACCCACTATTCTGTATGAGATTTAAGTAAGTTGAAACCTTTTCCTTTGCAGTTGGATCTGCAAAGTGGAGCTCATGATGAGGACCTAGCTCACCCATTCTCAGTTGATGAAGTTTGCCAATGTGCCCGTTCTGTAGCTTTCAGCACTGCACAGAGCTAATCACTTCCATAGTGACTTGAAAGGGGGTTGTTAATGTTGTACATAATACATAGAATGAGCAGCTTGATTCACCTAACCCTGATTTTGAATTTTCAGATCTGTGGGAACACGTATTCGCACAAGGTGGATATCTTTTCTTTGGGACTGATTCTCTTTGAGCTGCTTTACCCTTTCAGCACACAGATGGAGAGAGTCAGGGTATGTACGTTATGGGATTCTCCTCATTTTGATTATTTGTTTAAAACAGCTACTCACTTGGTGAAACATTTGCAGGAGGCTCTTCTCAGTTTTGAAGAAGCCTTGCAATTAGGAGCACAACTTCTTTATCAGCCTTGTACAGACACTGTGAATCATTGAAAATAAATTGCAGTCTTCCCAATGTGTGCAGTGGAATTGAAACCTTAATTTCTTTACAAACTCCTCTGTTGTCAAGCCAAGTAAGAGAAACTACTGAACTAGAATATCCAAGAACTCAAGCAACAAACAGAGCTTGTGACTTGAAGCCTACCAGCTTGGTTTTCATTCAAGAATGGAAACCATGATGTGCATTTTTATAACTTCTTCCTTTGCATCTGTGGTGCTTTTTCGCCCAAAGCACTTAGTGAAAAACTGCTGTTCCTTTTCCTATAGTAAGTCCTAGCTGTGAGTCTCAGCCCCAAGCAGGGTCTTCCCAGTAGTTGATGACATCCATTGCATCCAGTGTGAATTTGGGAGGTTTGATAGTGCATTACCACTCTTCCTTGCTGTCAAAGTGCTTGTGAGATCCATCCTGCTCAGGAACAAGTTCATAGAGAACAGGAGAGAAGTTTTCCCTCTTGAACACAGTGACTAGTGACCTATGCAGGAAAGAAAGAGTCATTATAATTTGTATTTATCATTTATATGTGCTCAGGGGATTAACTTCTCAAGTGGAAATGGACTGGTTTTATTAGAAGTGTGAGAAACAGCTTGAATCACACCATGAACACAGCTTGACCAAGTGTTCTGCCTATGATGGTGTTGCATTCTCTTGCTTAAGATGCTCTGGGTTTTTTGGTACAAAAGAGTGTAGTTTAGAGGAGGAATGGCAGTGCTTAATTTTAACCCCTTGCACTAATACCAATTTCATTTTTCTTAAATAAAATCAGTTTTACTGAGACACATACCCAATAAAGAACTATCCTGCCTTCTCAAGATCTCCTGCAGCAGAGATGACAAACTCTGCCCTTCCAGTTTCTGTCCTGAGTGCAGAAGCAAGAAGCAAATGAAGTAATCAGAGTGAATCCTAAACTGCATTTCATTCTGATGCTTTCCTTCTTAGGGGGGTAAAACCAGTGCTCTAACTTCCCATCACTTTCACTGTCATTACACTCTTTTTGAAAAAATCCAAAAGAAACCCTCACCCCTTTATGGGCCAAGTTCTGGGGTGTAGCTACTTCAGTAGTTGTTTCTGAGCTGTTACACTGAATTTTTCATTGGCATCACAAAGCATTAGCACTACTTGCTGAAGCGAAACATGTTCTGCCTGACCAAGCAGCCCAGCAAATTCTAGGAATCTGTGACAAAGGGCTGGAAAAATCCCCAGAGGTGGAGCATGAGACCTGCCTCTGTCTCAAGCTGTTAGCAGTTAGTCTGGCAGTGCAATTTATTTCCAAATTAGATGTTTGAAAACAGATCACTAAATGCAGACTGAATTGGTAGAGAAAGAACAATTATATAAAACATCTTATTGTCCTGAAACTCAGTTCTCTTGAACAGGAATTTGACTTGCCTATCACTCTTAACATCAGTTTATACTTTCAGTGGAATAATAATGAATTGAATTTAGTTTTTATTGTAGAATTCTTAACTTTGTGCTCAAAATCTTGCAAAAGGAAATCCTTCAGAAAAAAAATTAAGTGCTAGATGTTGTCCTTCATTACTAAAAATATGCTTAAGGGGTCATGGGTTGCTGGCAATTACAGAACTTACACACATAATAAGGTAGCCTGGTAACCTGCTGCAAATAATTGTGTGGCTGGGCATGGGAAAATTAGTATCACTAGATGGAGCCAATGTGCTTGTTATGGAGGAAACACCGATGGAGACCAGGTTCCTTGTGAGGACACAGAAATAAACAGCCTAACTGCCATAAATCTGGTCATTACTCCATAAACATTAAATAAAGACTAATGCTTACTTAAGACAGAGCCAGTCATTTCATGTATCTTAAAACTGGGGTAGGTGATCTTGTGGATTATGGGTGGTGCATGGATTGGTTGACTTTGTTGAGCCCAAGTGAGAAAGTCCAAGTTTGTGTATCTGGCTGATTTAAAACTGAGATCAGAGTTCTTGTAACATGACCCTGGAGCAGACTTTTTACATAGGGAAGCAGCAACTTGCCTGTTTAAGTATGTTTGGATTTTTAACCAGTAAAGCAAAACTTTGTTTAATGTTTGGGTTTTTTTTTCCATCAGGCTGATTTTTTTACAAAATAAAAAAGATGTTTTTTAAAAAATAAATAATAGAGTAATGCTCCTGAAGAATGGTGGTTTGGAAAAGTTAAGTGTTTTCCTTAATATTTTTGCAGACCTTAAGTGATGTTAGAAATTTGAAGTTTCCACCATTGTTCACTCAGAAATACACACAAGAGGTAAGTATGTCTGATGCTATTAATTGTAGCTTTTTCTTTAGTCATTGTAGCTTTTTTCTTTGCTTTCCAGTTGTTTTGCAGGCAAAAATAGAGGGGGAAAAAAGCTTTTGTGTTATTAAGATGCACATTTCAATCCCTGTGCTTTTCTACTTTTCAGAGCTGTAACATTACAATAATGTGAACGATGATGCTTTTGTCACACCAGTTACCTCCAGTAACTGTAGAATATTACCTGGCTTCCCGTTGTCACTTGCTTTCATTCACTTCACATGCATCCTGACATGATTTCTCTCAACAAATCCATATTCACAAAGTACAGAGCTCTAGACAGGTAAAGGGGAGGCTGTAGGTAGCACCTCTGCTGCATGGGATCTCACTCCTGGAACTGGATCTCCTAAGTAGGAAACCATATCAGGAAATTGTGCTGTGTTCTTATTAGTCAGGTCTTTAAAGTGATACAGTTGCAGATAAAGAGGAGGTGTTGTACTAAATGTCTCCAATAAAAAGCTGAGCACTTTCAGGTGTTGATGGTAGCTTCAGACCAGCACCTAAGACCAGGCTTTCTTGCATTACAGCTGCAGACTGCCCAGGGGAATGTCATATGCTGTGCTCAGCTGGAGCAGGACACTAATTCTCATTACATTTGAGACAAATATTCCAACTACCTGTATATTTAAAGGAAAACCTGTAGTTTACTGTGAAAAATTATTGCTTGCCTTAAAAGATGGTGACTAAGACCTAAAGCTAAGAATTACTCACTTTTAATAAGCTTTTAAATTATTTTGATTGTGAGTTAATGGAAAGGCTTGGGTCAGAGTGGATTTGCCAAATTGACTGTAGTCCTTAACAGTAAAGACAGTTTAACAGATGCACAGTGAGTGATACATTTCCAAATATTTAATGCAATTTTAGCTACTGTGCCAAAGCACCAATACCCAAATCATTCAGAAGACAACTGGGGACATTTTCCACTTGTTCATACAATTCAAGTGAGAGCATGAAATAAGAGAATTTATGGCTTGCTTCATGTAGCACATGTCATGTTTTCTTCTAGTACACCATGGTGAAGGACATGCTCTCTCCAAGTCCCACTGAAAGACCAGAGGCTGCAGCAATCATAGAAAATCCTGTCTTTGAAGACTTGGAACTCCCACCAAAACCAGTGCTTAGGCAGAGGTCACGGACAATGAGCTTATCAGGAAATAAGCATTCAAGACAACCAAGCAAATAATTATCCTCAGGATCACTTCTTCCACACGGCAGGTTTTACAGGGATTGTTCAGCAGAAGGATCCTATGATGTAGAATGTTGATCTTGGAAATGGTTTACTTCAGCTGTTTTTTGCCATGTTTAATGTATAAGACGTCTTGGACAGATTTTGGTTTGACTTGGCAGCCAAGGAAAGCCAGTTACCACACTTGTCACATTCCATTTTCCTTACCTTCAACTCTCCTAGGTGGATGGGTACAGCTACTGTGCTTACCAGTGGTGTGCCCCATTATCCTTTTTTTTTGGGTTTGTTGGGTTTCTTTGAAGCTTGTAAATGTCATCTCCCTGGGTAATTAAGAGATCTGTAAGATGTAAATAGAATTAAAATACTGTATTTTTATAGACCAAATTACAGTCTCTAAGCCTAGTGAGTGTCTATCCAGATCACTTGCTCTTTGGTGAAAAGATGATTTTGAAATGAACTATGACTCCATTTTTGTCCCTGGTTGGTTAAACTGGGAATATGCACTATTTTTAAAGCAAAAAAAGTACCACAGTTGTACATACTGTCACTCTCCATAGGCAGTCAGTAGAGGAAATCTTTTCATACTTCTACACTATAGTAGATCTTAGGGAATGCATTTTATACAAATCAACCTGTAGAGAAGGAAAATGAGCTTTTTTTTGCCATTGAAAAAAGGGGTTTTATAGGTGGTGGTTGGAAGAGCCATAGTAAAAATTATGTATGAAAATGTTGTGATTCTGAAAATGTAAATCTAATGAAGTCATACATGTCGTATGTAATCCTGTAGATTTGTACTTTAAAAAAAAAAATCAACTGGTAGGCATTTGTGTAATCTGCTAATTTAACTGCCTAATGCTTTTATTTCTCTCTGTAAATATGTTAATTTTTATTTATAAAATACAGAATCAATCCATTTGGGTTGGTGGTGTACAGAATGCACTCACTGTAATTGTTGGGTGCATGAATTATATTGTGACTTCTTTCAAGTCTAAATGATTTAATAAACTTTATTTATAAAAAAAAAAGAATAATCAAGTAGTGGTTGTTGCTGTTTGAAACCTGCATCAGTGTGTGCTGCAGGGGGCAGCTGGAGCAGGAGAATAGGCACTGCATTTCTGGAGCTTCCTTTGCTCTTCTGTCTCATACTTCCCTTAATGCATGTGCTGGTGCAAAGAAGAAGGTGCTGGTGCAAAGGTGCTGCTTGGAAGTGAGATACTATTTTAAGAAAGAAGGGAACCAGGCTATTCTAAATTGAAGGGATTATGGAGGCAATCTCTCAACTGTTAACAGAGAGAGAAGGAGGAGTAATTCTTACACTGTTAGAGCTGGTTTTGCATAAATACATTTTCTTGGTTTACAGGCTTAAATTTTTGAAGTTGTAGTCTCTGAAATCAGTTTCTTAAAAAGATGCTGAGTTCAAATCCTTCTGGGAATCACTGTGGTGTGATTCTACAACTAGTGATTAAACCAGCTGCCACTCTGCAGCCTTAAGATAAGGCAAAAGTGGATCTTACAAAGATTGTCTTCCTTCTACTCTTGGATGACTTCACTAGATAATGGCTTGTCCAGTTGAAGCCATAATGCTACAGTGAACATTGAGTTTCATTCATTGAGTTTAGGTGGGTTAAAGCAGAAGATACTTAATTGTTTTCACTTCCCTTGGATTTCCCTGGGAGCAGCAGCTATGAATGCACAGTTAAATGGTCACATTTGAAGCCTCTCCAGCTTCCCTGCCAGGTCAGTGATAACAGATCAAGCACAGGAAATAAACAAGAAGGTATTTTTAACTTGCTCTATAGTGTGAGATGCATGCATATGAAAATATAGTTAAGTAGCTGCTTATTCCAAGAGCCCTGAAGATTTGAAGTATCAAAAATGGTGTATGTGATCATTCTGGGTGTGTTTGTGTGTTCTGGGATGCTACACTTGTCCTCTAAGGCACACACACCCTGTGCCCTGTGTTGGTGCTTGCCCAGCCACAAAAGCCTGTGACCACACTCAGCTCTCAACTGCCCTGTCAGTGAGTTCCTGCTTCCCTCAGCACTGAATGCTGCAGTGTTGTCCCTGTCTTTGCTCCAGGCTTTGAGGAAATCTTTTCCCTAAGTAGAGAGGTTTTCTGTGACCTCAGGTCCTGCCTGCAGTTGCTTGTCTCATTTCCCTGCCTCTGACAGCTCCACTTGGCCCACCAGTGGGGGTAGAGGATGCTTCTCTGTTCTGTGAAGCATCCACCTGGGCTTCAACACCCCCACCAGTTCCAGAACTGTTTTACCAGCTCTTCAGAACCAGGCTACCCAGATGGATGCACCTCTCATGTTGACTTCCTCATTTAAGTCAGGTTTTAATTACACTAGATGTCCTGCTGGATGATGTTTGGTCAACTGACCAAATGGTCAACCACAACTGAAACACCAAAGGCCTTCTGTCTAATGTACATTTGCTCTGTGCTCATATCCTGGAAGGGAAAGCAATGAAGGGTGGCATTTTCTTCTCCCATTAAGCAAGAATTGGATGTCAGGATCAAGAATCCTGCCCTGTCCACCTTTGTGCCCTCTAGACCTAGATGCTTCCCCAAAATAAGGGCAGGATTATGTAGTTATTATCCTTACCACTTCCATGAAGAGTCATTTGACTAGTACTAGTGTTGCAAGCCCAGTTCAGGGCTGTTTCTTCTACCAGGCTTTTGAGAGAGAACTTCAGACCCTTGTACCAGCTGAGCCGCTCCAGACAGTAGCTACTTGCTACGCCTCTGAGGACAGTCCTGTGCTGCCTTTGAGCTGGATGATCAGGAAGGCTCTGGACTTGTACTAAACTGCTCCCATTTTTTAAATTTATTCATTAACAAAGCAACATTCTTCACCCCTCCAAGTGCCTCAGTCCAGTAGTTTTAGCACTAAATGTTACCCTGACTATCTTTCTGCTGCTTCCCCAGCTGCAGGAGCTTTGCCTGTCCCAGGTGGGTGATTGAGCACTCAGAAATAGCTGTTTCAGAAATCATCCTTGAGGTGTTTCACAGCCATAGAAGATCAGTCCAAGAGCAGACTCTGAGTGTGGTGACTCTCCCATGTAAACCCCCATGAGATCCCACCAGAACCATGCCCAGGGAAGCAACAGCTGATGTCTGAGCAGTCACCAGTCCTCGTGTGGGCCTGGGGGCTCAGCTCCTGCTTTTACTCACTGTTGGATACTGCAGAGGTGTTCAGGAGCAGTCCTGCTTTTCCAGGGCCATCCTTCAGTGGAGTAATCCAAAGCCCTCCTGCAGGGAGCCAGTGCTGTTTGATGCTGTTTGAAGTCCAGACAAGCACTTGGGAGGGGCAAAAATAATAATTCCCATTTATCATCAGTTTTTTTATGGCTCTGTCGTCCAGCAGTACTCTATGTTATCAAGACATTGCATCACAGTGCAAAACAAGTAGTAATTCCTCTTCACATCCACTCTTTGGCTGGTCTTGGTCACCTGAAGCCTCATTTGAACTCCCAGGGCACTGGGTGGCCCTCAGAGTTATAGGGAAGTGTTCCAGCAAGTCTCACTTGTTTCCTGGGGTCTGCCACATAGGATATTCCCTGCCAGAATTAATAAGGAAACTCACAGGTAATTCAGAGAAAGCCACTGAAGCAAGATTTTACCAACAGTCACCACAATGTCCATGCACATGGAATATTTCTCCTACCCATTCCTGCCTGCTGCTGAGCTTGCTCTGGTGTTAAACACCAAGTCTGGGACTGGAAAGCTCTGAACCTCTTGCTATTTCAGAAGCGAGTTGAACCCTGACCAAAGAGCACAAGCTGCTGGACCATGTCCTGCCTTTGTGAAGAAGTGACCTCTCTTCTGGGGTCACATCCCTCTTGCCAACTTCCATCACAGTATCATTCTGGTTGGAAAAGACATTCAAGACCATTGAGTCCCACCACTACCCTAACTGCAGCATCTCACCACTAAACCCTGTCCCCTGGCACCACATCTGTCTCCTTATATGTCTCTGGAAATGGTGGCTCTACCACCTTCTTGGACAGCCTGGATCACCAAGTCCAGCTCCCACCCCAGAACAGGACAACCCCAAAGTTCACACCATGTCCCTGGGGGCATTGTCCAAATGTTTCTTGCATATTGTCAGGCTTGGTGCTATCACTGCTTCCCTGGGGAGCCTATTCCAGTGCTCCACCACCCTCTGGGTGAAGAATCCCTTCCTAATATGCAACCTAAACCTTCCCCTGCACATCTTCCTACCATGCCCTTGGTTGGCCCTCCTGGCTGCCAGGGCACAACTGTTGGCTCATGTTCAACTTGCCATCAACCAGAACCCCTAGATCCCTCTCCAAAGGGCTGCTCTCCAGCCTCTCACTCCCCAGACTGTCTCTATATCCAGGGTTACCATGTCCCAGGTGCAAAATCCAGCATTTCTCCTTGTTAAACTCCATGCTATTGGCAATTTCATATGCAAATTGACACATGTGGAGTCATTAAAACTGGACAAATTTGTCATGTAAACTGCAAGATGAGAACTACAGTGGCTTGAGGAGAAACAAACACTGTCCCATCTTGTGTTGTGGATCACCAGGATGTACACAAAGATATTCAAGTTCTCATTGTGTTGTTTTGTTTTTCCCCTCAGCATAAAGACTGAATTAATCTTAGGAAATGCTTATTAAAAAATAATCACCCAGGAAGGAATTAGCTCCATTAGCTATAACAAATTGCCCCTAAAATATCCAAGTTCCTCATTTGTAAAACTGTGGAAGATGAAGAAAACCATCTTTGTCCCATGCCCCCAGCTGTAGTTTTCCATTTCTCCTTCCCCAGTTTTCCTACCCATTATTTTCCCATTAGGACATGCTCTGGCACTTCCTGTACCACCACCTCCAGCAACTGACTCTGCATCCCTACTGCTTGGGCTTGCCCTTCAGGGCACCGTTGGGCACTGGCACCATAATGCTATATTCTAGCTCTGGGGCAGTCTTGGAAAACGTGGCTATGGAAACCATGTCTTCTCCAATGTCCACCTGAGACCTGTGCCTGCAAACCAGCAGCTTCTTCAGGGCCCGTTGGAAGTCCCGGTTCAGGAAAGCGTAGAGCATTGGGTTGATGGTGGAGTTGCAATACCCTAACCAAGTGATGATCTTGAAGGTGTCAACCAAGACTGTGCTGGTGGAGTCGGTGCCTCTGGCAGCGAGCCAAACGTTCAGCACAAAGTAAGGCAGCCAGCACAGCACAAAGGCTGAAATGATGATGCTGATGGTCCGTGTGGCCTTGTTCTCCAGCTGCAGGTGGTTCTGCCTCTTGCTGTTGGGGTGGTAGTGAATCTCCAGGGTCTGAGACATGATACGAGTGGCCTTGAGCCGTGAAGCTCGGTAGATGAAGAAATACATGCTGCACATGACCATGAAGGGGACAAAAAATGCCAGAGCAGAAGCCACAATGGCAAAAATCCAGTTGGTGACAAAGATGCATTCTCTGCCCGCATCAAAGTCCACCCCAGGGATCTCGTTCCAGCCTTGCATGACGGGCAGGAAGGAAATGAGGGAGGAGTATACCCAGACCGTGCAGGTCATCAGGATGCATCTGTGAGAGGGAAGAGATGGGGAGGGAAGAGAAGGCCTGAGTTATTTTGAATGGAGAACAACCAGTACCATCCAATCCCCATGGTAACCCATATGGGATATCACTGCTCAGCAGTCCCACAGGGCTTGGAGAAGTGGCCAAACAAGGGAAAAGCTGGAGTACAAGTCCACAGGCAGTTGTCTCTAATGACTGGGTCATTGGGTCTGTGGTTTACAGAACTGTGATCACTGTGGGGGATGCTCAGAGCTGGCTGGAAAAAAAAAAAAAAAAAAAAAAAAAGAGGAGAGGTGGAATGGAGGATTTGTGTTAATATTTAAAAACAACAGCATATAGATGTTTCTATTTGATTTCAGCTTCAATATCTGGCTGTTACCTTATCCTCTGAGCAGCAGCAGAGGTTGAGCTGATGGACACCAGGTCCTCAGCACTGCTGCAGCCCTTGCTCTGCCACTCTGCTCCTCTATTTGGCCACTGCCCATGCTCCACAAATAATACACAGCCAGACCTGCAGAGGGAAAAGCATCCCCAAAAGAGCCTGAACCCACCTTGCAAAGCACCTCACAGCTGCAACATCCTGTGCTCAGACCTGCTCCCCAACCCTGCAGTCCTCTTCTCCATGTTCCACATGAAACCTTGATAAAAGCTTAGAAAATCCTCCTGTTTTCTATTTTCCCCACAAATATAATGAGTTTTAAAAGGGATAAGACTACTGCTACATGCATTCTTCTGGGTATCATTTCCTCTAGTCTTTGGGAAAATTCTTGTCGAATTCCTGCAACAGGCAGAAGTTGCAGGCACAAGTCAGCCCATGCCATTGGTTTCTACCCCATTTCACAGCCCATCCTTAAACCAGGGCTTCCCCAGGAGCACCAAACCAGCTCAGCTGGATCCTCCTTTTCTCCTGCACCACATTAAATGATTTCTGTGAAGTTTTATATGACACAAAGATCCTTCTGACACATTACTCTGCTTTTGGGCAGCAGCTCTCCAGAGCTTGGGGGGACCCAAAGTGAGGAGCAACTCCACTCACCTGCCACGGGACATCCTTCTTGAATAGTGATATGGAGTCACCACGGAGCAGTATCTGTCCAGGCTAATGAAGCACAAGGTGACAATGGATGCAGTGCAGAACATGACATCAAAGGAGATCCAGACTTTGCAGAAGAGCTTCCCAAACAACCACATCCCCGTCACCTCGTAAATGATGCTGCGAGAGAAAAGGGGTAGAACCCAAAGCTAGGAGTGATTTCATGCATGGCTTCAACACTCCACTGAGGTAACATCATGTTTTACTGTGCAGGTACAAGGGATGAGCGTGCAGTGTAGGGAGGCTCAGTCAGGGAGTCATCCTCAAAGTGCAGCCCAAGGCAATAACCCACAGGTGGGGCATGGCTGAGGAAGACCAAGCCTGTGCTTCCTGCCTGCACTCTAAGTGGGCACCTTGAGAGAGGTTCTTTGCACCTCCAAAGCTCCCCAAATTTAGATCTGCCCAGCTTTGTTTAGCACAGCTTTTCCAGTGCCCTAAGAAGCATGGGATTTTTAAATTATCCACAATTCCTGGGGCATGGAAGGTGCTTCCTCCTCCAAGAAACTCATATTTCATCTGGGCTCAGGCTCCAAAACAAAAGGATTTTGACTCTTGGCTTTTTTTAAAAAATTAGAAACCCTAGGATGAAGCGTATGCAGCTTGTCCATTATGTAGCTACAAACACCCCAGTGGGGTGAACACACCAGCAAAAAGATCACAATATGCCAAAATTATTCCTAACAAAGTCCAGAGGGACCTGTAAGAAGTGGGCAGGGAAGGAAGGAACACACAGCAGCTGTAGGAAGGCTGATGCATGTTCCTGGAGCATTCAATTAGATGCCATTTGCTTCCCCTTTCTTTCACCAGCTTTCTGGATCTCCTGGGGTGCTGCTGAAATAACCATTGTGTGTGAATTTGATGTGAAAGGCTGAGTAACCACCTAGTCCTGCAAAGCTTTAATTATCCTGTAACTTCACAGCTTGCTGGTCAAATACAGTGAAAGTGGGGCTCTGTGCTCAGTGGGCTCTGCTGTCCCCAAGGGCAAAAAGAGTCAACCTGATGTCAGAGGAGTTAGAAACCAACCCCTGCTCTGCATCTAATTAGCAAGAAATCATTACAATTACTTGTGAAGGTTATTTTTGAGCACAACTGCTGGAGGTAGGCACATTTCTGCTGAAGGGCCCCAGTCCTCAGAGGCATTTTGTTATGCAGGATGCAAGGCAAAGATTCAAGCAAACATTAATCTACAGCAGAACCTGTCCCCATACCATGATGGCCTCCACAGGGGAAGCAGGGAAGGTCCCAGTGCACACACAGGGAAAGGTTTTGTGAGCCTTTTCTAGATGGGGAATGAAGACATACAGAAGTTGAACCATGGACTAATCATAGACTTGGGTGTCTTGGTGCCATTCCTCAGAAGTCCTCCTTATCTCCAGAGATGCTGCAAAGCCCATGGTGTGGGCACAATGACCTTCCCCAAGCAGACCATGCTGCTGTCATGAACATCCCTGCACACAGATCCCAGGTACCTACTTTCCCTCAGCATCTGGTGGGATGATCTTGCCCTAGCAATGTTCTCCCAGCACATGGCAGTGGATGCCTGTTCCCTCTTCTCTGGTACAGAAAGTCTCTGTAGCCTGGAAATGATGCTGGCTCCAAAGGAATAATGAAAGCCCAAAGAGATGCACAGTAAAATCAAGTCCTTCCATTTACACAGAGAGAGGGAAGGTGGCCTTTGTCCCCATGTCAACACTGCCAGCCACCCACATGCAACCTGGCCAGACAACAGGGGCACAAGATCTCCCCCAAGTGCAGCCAATCCTATTGGTTGTCCCACTGCAGCCTGCAACTCTTCCATTCTGCTTATCCAGACAAAAGTGTTATTCTGCAAGGTCACCTGCCTTACACCAAAAAAAGTGAAGAATAACATCTCTCTAATAGCCTTTCAGGTTCAGAAATACAAAATCATCTGTTGTCTCAGGCTACTAAGGATCTTTCTTACTTCTCTCTCCCACTACCAGAAAATAAAAGTTTTAGGAAGTGCAAAATCAAAAGCACAGAATTCAGCTCTGCTGATTTCAATAGTCATTCCCAAGAAAAACGAGGGGAAAATACATTCCATGATTTCATAGAATCACAGAACTATTCAGGTTGGAAAAGCCCCTTGGGATCACCGAGTCCAACCATCAGCCCTACTCTACAAAGTTCTCCCCTAAACCATATCCACCAACACCACATCCAAACAACTCTTAAACACATCCAGGGATGGTGACTCAACCCCCCCTCTGGGCAGCCTATTCCAGTCTCTAACCACTCTTTCTGTGAAAAAATGTTTCCTAATGTCCAGTCTAAACCTGCCCTGTTGCAGCCTGAAGCCATTCCCTCATGTTCTATCAAGATTTGTTCTTGTCAAGATCTTGAGCAAATCTAGACAGAATCTTGATAGAACTACCTTTGAAACACAAGCAGGATCAACACAGTCATTGCACTGAATGCTGACACACCAGTGACAGCCCCAGCTCACATTCCTCAGAGCATGAAAAATCATCTAGTGACCATGTTGGGCCCATGTGCAAAGCAGAGCAAGTCCTGGAAGAGTGGACTCACTACACTGGCACCACCTGCAGAGCTGGATATCTAGTTCAGACCACCAGCCAGGCTCTCTCTGTAGCCAACAGGAAGAACACCTTTGGGAAGTCTCTTCCTTTCATTACAAGGGGACAAAAGGTAGGGAAACTGAGGCACAGAAGCACAATCACTGACCCACAGTTAAGCTCTTTGGAGAGCCCAGCCCTAATCACAGCAGGAGAACCTCCAGCCAGCTATGCTCAATCTGTGGCCACTGAGCTGGGAGGGGTGACCTTGGAGACACACACCACTGTCTGATCTTACCTCACAGCACTTCTTACCTGAAGGGCATGACCAGGCAAGCCACAAGGAAATCTGCCATGGCCAAGGACATGATGAACATATAGGTGACCGTGCGCAGCCTCTTCTCCACCACCGGGCAGATGAAGACAATTGTATTTCCCAGGAGTGTGATCAAGTCAATGAGGGTAAGGATCAGCCCAATGACCACCTCCTGCAGGCCGACCCCTGCCCAGCTGCCACCTCCTTTCACAAAGGAGGAGGCAGCAGAGGAGAAGTTGGAGAACCAGGATTCATTTTTGTCCATCAGCATCTTCACACGGTTAAAATCTGAAAGAGAGGAAAGAGAGGAAAATTAAATAAGGACTTCAATGCACATGCCTTCTATGAAAGGTAGAACAGAAATGATGGTTGTGCTTCATTTGCTTCAAGAAGAAGCCACACACCCTGTTGTGCCTGTGCCACCACTGTCCCAGGCTTAACAGTCTGTTAGAAGTGTCTGACATCCTGAGGATGAGGATAAATGTGCAGCATTGGCTGAAGTCCTTTGTGGCAATTAAAAACCTTCCTGTAAACAAAAAAGCATCATCAGGTGAAGTGTGATATGAAGAAAAGCCCTGAGAGCAGAGAGAGCACAAGCAGCAACTGAAACCCAAAAATCAAAGGGGCTCTGCTAAATCCCACTGAACAGCACCCCATGTCCACAAGGCTTAGGGGTTGGAACTAGATGAGCTTTAAGGTCCCTTCCAACACAAACCATGTTAACATTCTATATTCTCATTATCATCTTTGCCTGCCACAGACCAGGTGTGACTGCTTGCCCAGGCTGGCTGCTTTCGTGACCTCACTGCTCAGGACATGCTCTGCCCTGGGTTGTCCTGGTACTTCCTAGGCACTGAAGTTAAGAGGTTTTTACTATCATGGTGGGCAACTCCATCACAGAGCCTGGATGGCTGTGTGGAGCTGCCAGCAACCACAACATTCGTAGCCCCAACCTCCTGTATGGGCAGGGACTCCTCCCACCAGACCAGGTTGCTCCAAGCCCCATCCAACCTGGCTTTGAACACTGCCAGGGATGGGGCAGCCACAACTTTCCTGGACAACCTGTTCCAGTGTCTCACCACCCTCACACTAAAGAATTTCCTCCTAATATCTAACCTAATTTTTCCCTCTTCCAGTCTAATCCATTAGTCCTTGCACTATCACTTCCTGCCCCCTTACAAAGCCCTTCCCCAGCTTTCCTGTAGCTCCTTCAGGCACTGGAAGGTGCTCCAAGGTATTCCCAGGGCCTTTTCTTCTCCAGGCTGAACAGCCCCAACTCTCTCAGTCTGCCTTCATAGAAGAGGTGCTCCAGCCCCCTGGTCATCTTCGTGACCCTTGTCTGGATTAACTCCAACAGCTCCATGTTCTTGGAATCACAGAATCATCCTGGTTGGAAAGGACTTTGAAGATCATTAAGTCTAATCATAACTTAAATCCCCCAACCATAACCTAATCTACCCATTCAGTGCTTGAATGATGTCCCTAAGCACTACATCTATATTTTTCTTAACCACTTCCAGGCATGGTGACTCCATCACCTCCCTGGGCCTTCTTCTTGTGTTGAGGACCTCAGAACTGGACAGAGCACTGCAGGTGGGGTCTCATGAGAGCAGTCCCCATCCAGTCTCTCAGGTGCCATCAATGTGCTCTTTAATCTCAGTCCCATCCCCAGCCCCCTCATCACCTCCTGGTCAGGCTGAGGAGCCTTCACCAATTTGCTCCTTCCTTATACAGAATTGACTGAGGACTCCTGGCCATCCCTCCTGATCTCCTGAACCTTTCTGAGAGGGACCAAAACTGTAAACAGTTTCAAGAGGTAAGTCCACTGTGGATTTATAGAAGGGCATAATGATGCTCTGTGTTTTGTCCTTCTTCCCTTTCATAACAATCCCTAACATGGTTTGCTGCTTTTGTTTGGCACTTAGCACCAAGCTGACCTTTCCACAGAACCACCTATCACCATCCAAAGAGCTCATTCCTGAGCTCAGAGCTCACAGCTTTAGACAGGAAAATAGGATAAAATGAGGAAATTAAGTTCTCTCCATCCTCCCCAAAGTCCATCACTTCACATCCCAGTCACTTCTGCCATATTCATGCTCCCTGAGACTCATAAAAGCTTTTCTGCAATTCTTGAAGTCAGGTCTTATCCTTCATGCCCTAATTAAACTTTTTGTCACCTGCAAATATCACTACTTGACTACTCACACTCTTCCCAGTTTGTTAAGGATACATGGAACTCCACAGATCCCAGCCCCTGTCCCTGTCAAGAGCAAAGCTGATGTCTCTTCCACGTGGTAACTCATCATCCTCTTTCCCCCTGCATTTCACTTTTTAGACAATTATTTATTCATGCAAAGAACTTCCTTCTTAACTCAGGCCTGTTAAGTTTTTGTAAAAGCCCCCCATGAGGGACCAAATAGAAAACCTTTCAAAAATCACAATTTTTTGAGTAGGAAGGGACCTTAAAGATCATTGAGTTCCAACCCCCTGCATGGGCAGGGACACCTCCCACTAGAACAGGCTGCTCAGAGCCCCATCCAACCTCCCCTTGAACACCTCCAGGAATGGAGCCCCCTCAACATCCCTGGGCAGCCTGTTCCACTGTCTCACCACCCTTACACTGAAGGATTTACTCCTGATCTCTAACCTAAATTTTCTCTTCTTTCAGCTTAAAACAATTACCCCTTGTCCTCTCACTGCAAGCCCCTGTAAAAAGACCCTCCCCAGCTTCCTGTAGTCCCTGCAGGTACTGGAAGGCCACTATCCAAGGAGACTACACCAACTAGGTGCTTCCCACCCATGTCTTCTCTTCTTCCAAGCACTCCAGTATGACTGGGGGGCTGGGCAGCCTTTTGTAAAAACAGAACTGGCTTTTTCCTTGGATAGAATGGTGTATCACCCACACCCACTCATCCTTCTGAATTCTCAGCTTCCTCCCCTGACTTCTATTTACTTACTGGATTTAGTGGTCTCCTTTCTTCAAGTTAAAATATAAAAATATTTTTAAAAATCAAGAAATAACTGAAGCTGTCTAGAAAATCATGAAAAAAAAAGCTCCTCCTCTGCCCCACCTCACCAGAGCTGGGACTTGCAGAGATCTCCTTCTGCCACATTGAGAACAAGCAGGTTTGTTCGACATCAAGTTCTGTAGCAGGTCCCTGAGCAGGTGCTACCAGAAGTCTACAGGGAATCTTAATTACATCAGTTTTAATTAAAATATTCCTTGGCCAATATTTCACATCCTGATAACACCCCAGAAAAATAAAACCTAAAAATTCCTCTCTCCAGCTGAAAGGAAAGAGGACAATCTGCACTGTTCTTTCTAAGAAGTCCACTAAGGATGTCATCAAACTGGAGGAGCTCCTGGGGAACAGTTTGATTTTAATGCAACCAGAATTTCTGGCAGAAAAATCATTCAGCCCATTCTCCTCCCTACGTGGTTTCCACAGATGGCACAGGGACTGCTGGCTGGCAAAGCCACCTGGTGACACAGCCAGCCAAGTTTCAGAACCTGCCAAGGGCTATGACATGGTCTATCTCCATCTTCCAGCTCATCTGGTCCTCTGCCATCTTCCATACCTGATGGAAGAGGCTTGTGTCCTCACAACTCTGAAGCCCCTGTGGGTCTAGAAACAGTCCTTTGATTTCCACCCTCACCAGTTCCAGCACATGAAGACCACACAGACCACCCTACAGCACTTATAAATATTACACTCTGTACCCAGCTGTGAAGACACACTGCACTCAAACTTTAAGCAGAAGTAGGACACAGCTACCAGAGCTCATCTTTGCAAGATGTCTATGCTACTGGAGTAACACCTTAGCCACCAGCCTGGGTTAAAAGGTCTTCTCAAGCAAGAAACTAACCAGAGGTTGCTTGATGCTGGGTACATCTAGGAACATGACACAACAATGGACAAACACAGGAGACAAAAGTGCCCACGCTCACAAAACATTGGAGAAACACTCTCTTGGTCACACTATTTTTTGGTCAACACAAGGACAGGCTGAGGGGCTGGAAACAAGACTTTTCACGTTTGACCTCCATGATTTCTCCAACAACAAAAAGAAGGGATGGAACATGAAACTCTAGGTTTGAATCCCGAGCTCTGATTCAGGGTGCAGACAACAGGGTTCAGCTGCTCCGGGCTCCTTTTCAAGGATCTCGAGGCCAGACAGGCCCTGGAAATCAGTGTCACAGCCAAGCACCCAAGCTTGATGTCCCTCATCCCTTTTCCCTCTGGCTGAGCAGCCAGTAACTCATCTCTTGCTCAGAAATGCTACTCCTCAACCATCTGGAGAACTGTCAATACATGAAAGTGGAGGATGATACAACTTTAATATCTCTGTGGAAATCTTTGGGACAAAGCAAGATGTGCCATCCTTCCCAGGGATGTAATTCCACACATTAAATATTGGAGCTTTAAGCTATCCTATGAGCTACAGCAGCTCATGTGGTGATGCTGGTACAGCACAGTGTCTTTAACATCAGTCTTTCAGCCTTTCTTGTAAGGACCCTTCGTAAATCAATGGAATAAATGCCTGGGATAATTGTACCATGATGTGGGATCATCCCAAGTTTCTCAGGGATCTCACTCATGGTTTGCATTGTTCTTATTTATTCAGTTTTGCTTCCTTTCAAAAGCTGATGGGCAAGAACCTGCTCTCAGTCTGCCTGAGTGAAGAAACTCCATCATTTCAGCAGTTTTCCTTTCACAGACAGAAAGTTTGACCTAATTTATTCAGCAGGCAAATCCCAAATAAAAGGTTCATTTCTTCACTAAGTGATATCCTTTGATGGCAGGGAAGGAAAAAAAGAAAAGCTCTGCAAGATCTAGGCTGACTGCAATTTAAAATCCTAGAGGAATTATGGAAACTGGAAATGTATTTGCTGCCAGAGTCTGCTTCTCCACTAGACCAAGTATGAGCCCATGTATGGCAGCAGGCAACTGTACCTGCCCCAGGACCTCAAAATACATTTCCCTCCTCCCCTCTGGTGCAACCACAGCCTGCAGCAGCTCAGGAGTTTGTTGAACAGTGCGTTGGTTTGCAAGAGTGTGGAGATAAAGGAGGAGGAACAGCCCTGGAGATGCTTCCACAAGGAAAACATGCCTTCAAGGAGGCCATGCAGCAGCTGAGTCTTTGCACTGACTTTCCTGCTCTCTCTCTCTCTTTCTCCTCCACCCAACATTCCCATTTGAAGGGCAGCATTTCTCAGAGCACGGGTAGTTTCTGCCTCCATATCAGCACAGAACAACCCCTCCAACCGATCAGCCCCGGGTCTGGAA